AGAATAAAACTTTGAATCTAACTTCATTTTAAGGTGCTTAATAATGTTCTGCCAGATATGAAAAAGACAATAAAAATGGGTTGTTGTTAGAAAAACCTGAGAAACAGTACTTATTAAACCTGGCTCAGAGTCAGTCCAAAATGATTTCGGAACAAGATTATCATTTGCCTTCAATAAACATTACAAGATCTACTTATATGTTGATGCTATTTCATCCTCTACTAATGCATTCGCTACATTTCGAAACCTTCCATAATTATCTCTTATCATGAATACACTCAAATACATGTTATACTTATTAGTTTTACATGTATTATCGTTTAAAACAATATCATAAAATTGCTTATACAATTCTTGCTGGAATGGAGACATCCAAAAAACATCTGACAAATGATGTTCATTGCTGGTATGCTGAACAAATACTTTCCAATTTTTATCTTGAACTTTTTTTTTCAAAAGTGCATTAAGGAATGAGCCAGAATCAGAATCAGAATTCAATTCATTACTACTATTACAGCTTTTGTAAATTGCATTATAAACATCTTGTTTATGAAAAACATAATGTGAATATTTTTTCTCAAGTATCTTTAACTGTGTAATTAGTGCTACTTTACAGTTAGTGAGAAACTTTAATTCTTGAACCATTTCATCATTAAGTCGATGATACCTAGGGACAATATCAGCTATTTGACTAGGGTTTAATTCATGATTATAATTGTCATTTAATGTTGTACATGATATTTGTTTTGTTGTTTTGAGAAAGGTAAAATTACAATGCCATTCACAATTGGTTTTCATATTATCACGCAAATAGTGTAAATTTTGATCTACATTTTTTTTGGCATCATATTTTTCACTTGTTGAGCAATGAAAAAACTTGCGATAAGTAATAGAGAAATCATTTTGGTCTTTATCATTTCGAGAAATTTGATATCCAAAACCTCGTTCGAAACAATAATAGTGTATAAACATATCAACAGATAACCAGTCATCAAAGACGTCTCCTACATGAAGGTTGTACTAGTAAGTAGATATAGATATATCGAAGTCACTAAAAAAATCTGAACAAACTAAAAGGTTAGTATTAAGTAAACCTATTATTAACTTATTAAAATATGAACCAATTAGAGAGACCCTAAAAGTGCCGGTCTCAAGATAAGTAACAAAAGCCAGGTTCAGATTTTGTTACTTATCTTGGAACTAGCGTATTTGAAGTCACCCTAGCTGATTCTAAAAATAAAGCAAATATTACCATATATCTAAATTTGAACATTGTTAGTATTGTAACTGTTCTGATTCTCTTCTGATATTAAAACATAATCATTGGTGCTACTCATAGCATCGTTCATAGTATCATTCATAGCAGTGTTCATGTTCATGTTTATAGCATCATTCATGTTCATGGCACTGTTCATGGTATCGTTAATTTTTATGGTACTGTTCATTTTCATAGCACTGTTCATGGCACTGTTCGTAATACTGTTCATAGCACTATTCATATTCGTAGTACTGTTCATATTCATAATATCGTTCAGGTTTGTGGTATCATTCAGGTTTGTGGTATCATTCATGTTCGTGGTAGTATTCATGTTCATAGCATTGTTCATTTTCGTAGCATTGTTCATATTCGTGGCATCATTCATGTTCATGGCATTGTTTATATTCGTGACATCATTCATATTCATTATATCATTAGTGACATTATTTATATCATCCTTGTAAGTATTGAAATCATTATCTTTGAGTAAAATATATGCTAACACATGCATTGCTCTTATAAATCGACTAAAAGATAAAAAAAAAGGTACTTATGTTTTAGAAGTTTATTTGATAATAAGTTGATAATTAAAGCTTTCATGGTCCCAGTGTGTCTAGACTTATTTTATTTCATAGATTTTTTATTGTTTTAACAATAAAAAGTCTATGAATAGAATAAGTCTAAACACTATCTTAGAGAAATTCTTTAAAGTTCTTACAAATATATTCACTAAGGTGCTTCTTCCCTTTGGTCAAGATGATCCTTCAACGAAGTTTGTACAGTATTTTTACAAAATGCATCTACTAATGCGTTTTCTCCTCTCAAACTTCTGTTTCAAAGAATTCAGTATATTGATCTTGTGAAATATGTTTAATAGTGTGTTTCCTACCTTTAACCCAAGTTGATTATTACTAGAATTCAAAGAAGCCAGTTTCCACCTCTTTTTTTTGGGTAGCAATGTTGTACTATACAATGATATTAAGTCATCTTTTTGAAATTTTTTAATAGTTAACATGATGTAATGTATGATGCTATAATGCATGTATTATGAATCTTATTACATAATCTCAGTGAAATTTACTGGAGGTTAAATTTAAATAAATTCTTTTTTTTTAATTAATTATAAAAAATAACTTTGTAACTTTTTTATAGAGGTTTAATATTAATTTTTATAAAAGATATTATAAAATTTAAAGAATTAATAATATTACTCGTATAGTCTAAATATGTTGAAGATATATTAAAAGTTACAGAAACTTGATGAGATTATATTCAACATAAAATTCAAAAAGAATGAGAGGCTAAAGGTGATGAATTTGATAATAATGAACTTGTAGATAAAGTACAAGTAATATAAAATAGTAATATTAAACAATAACAAACAAATAGTAGATAAAATACAACTCTTACTGAAGTGTTAACAATAAGTTTAATCACAGCAAGACATAGTAAAAATTATTAATAAAGATTTTTTTTAATTGATTTTTGAAAATTTCAAATTATATTAATTTATTAATAAAAATTGTCTTTGTGTAAACTTTAATAATATCTTTTATATTAACAATATAAAATAAATAATTACAACTCTCTCTATTGATCATTTTGACTATTTCTAGAGCTAAAAGAAAAAGACTATAAACTCCAAAATTTTACTAAGAAACAGTAACAAAGTTACTAGCAAAAAGAAGAGAACACTAAGAAATAGATATAACAAAAATAGAAAACAAGAAAAAGAATAAGAAAATAGAAGTCTGAAAGAAGTTTTAAGAAAAAAGACTACAAAAAAATTAAAAATTATTGAAAAAGTAGAAATTGGAGATACTCTGTAACATAGATTATTTGCAGTAATACAAATACATATAATTAAGATAAACAAACAAATACAAGATAGTAAATTTGTATATGTCATATGCTAAGTAGTATAAATATATATAGTATTGTTATTAGAATTCTAAAATATAACTAGAATTCTAGATTTTTCTATTCTTTTAATAGTTCTAGTAGAAATTCTTACTAGAAGAATTTTATCACTTAAATATATATAATATTACCCAATAAAAATACATAAATTGCAAGCTACATTAACCAATAAAAATATATATATTACACATAACTTAAATAATGACTTTTGCATATGTAACAGGTTAATTAGCAAAATTAAGAAAAAAATATTTTCTATTTCAAAATTTTGCTTATGAAACTGCTCTTGGTACTTTAAAAAAAAAATTCTATACATAATTTTGGTATAGTATTTACCTAAATTCTCTTTCTAACTTTTTTTAATATAACTCTAATATTAAAACCTATTTAATATAGGCTGATATTGATTAATTAGTATAACCTGTTACATATACATAACTTTTATTATACAAATCTGTGTAATAAAATATATTTATAATGTTCTTTTATTAATTTCATATCTAAAGTTTCTTTTAAATATTAGTATTTTCTTCGAATACTATCAATCTGTTATAACATAGGCTAAGTGCTAAGAAAAAAGATGAAATTGATAATTTTTTTAAAGCTATTTTTTTATATAAATTAATTTAAAATATGATTAGAATTATTTTTCAGTTAAGATTCAAAAGTAG